GTACCTATAGGCTACAATAAATACCGTAGACTAAAACAGTCTGATTAACGCTCGATCGACTCTCAATGTTTCACGATAAACACGTTCCGTTTTACGATTTAACGAATTCATCCCTATTTATTTTCACCCGAAAAATGCAAAGCTTGTTTAAACTACCGTAAAATGAATTGATTAAAGAGAATTCCCTTTTCGTAATCGATTTAAGATATAGGTAACATATTTGTTGTATAGGTTAGTAGGGTCTAACATTCAAGCAAGATTTCAAAATTCTTACATCGCTTATTTATCGAGTGCCTGATGGATGAATCAAAACGCTGAGTACAAAACGTTTGTTATTTAACACTGGTTTTCATTTCAATTGCCAGGATGTCTATAACAACACTGATAACAAAATTAGACTACACCCATGCCATGCAACAATCCCATACATTTTTTAAACACATAGCCTATCGACAAATATAACAATGTACATGATGTTTATAAAAATACAACACATACGAAGTAAAAAACGGTTTAAGCTAATTACGAAATGGTAGGCTAACCAATCATGGTAGGCTATCATGCCTATTTTTTGTTTACGGTTAAACATCAAAAGACTTGAGGAATCAGCGTAGTGTTGCCAATTAGTATACAGTAGGCCTAACAATCATCCTCCTCACTTGAAAATCAATTTGATTTAAACATTGATTATATGTTTGGAGTTAGAAGAATATTTTAAGTTAAAAGTACAACACTAGACAAACCAATCGTCGAAAGAAATAATTGAAATAAATGGAGTTTTAGATATCTACTCTATAACAAATTATTTTCATTCGTTTTTTTAATTGGGAAGCAATAGCAGGTCTGTTACGTCACTGGCTACTGAAGATTTGTACCCCATTTCCAGCGCAATCGACCGAATTGATTCTCTACGTGCCGGGAGTCCAGAGTTGGTTTTTGATTGGTCGTCGATTGGTACCCCTTGTCATAAACGACTGCTGTTTTGTATTTATATAAACAGTTTTGTTTGTGTTTCAGTTCCACGTTCAGGCCACGTAACGAATTTCTGAGTTTAGGAGCTGGAACTGATTGCAGAAAATTATATCAAACGTGGGTTAGGGTTTTTAGCGAATTTCCCTATAGGGAAGTAGCTATTACCGTAGGTGGCACGGTAAGACCTAGACCCGGGACCGATTTACTTTTTCATTTTGATGTCCCCAGAGGCCAAAAACACCATTCGTTCAAATGTATATACACGTCCGTGAACGCGATAAATTGAGTAATTTTTGTCCGATTTTGATGAAATTTGGTTTAACGGTGTAAAGCGGGATAAACTTGAATGAGTTCGCGAACCAGCATGATCGGACCATGGGAACGGGGCTTTACGGGGGGTTTTATGGGGTAAAAATTGGTTTTTCTCACTTTTGACCCTCAAAACACACAATTTCCCAATTTCTCTTTAACCTTTTTAAAGAGCTTAAAAAAACAATTAATTTAGTTTATAAAAGTATTTTTGTTCGGTTAATAGTAACGGAGAAAATTTAAAAAATGTCAATTTAAAATTCCCATGTTATTCTTATGGAGAATATTGTCAAATGTTGTAGCTTGGTTGTTTATTGATATATTTTGCATTTTGATCAAATTTATTTATTTTGCACTAAGCTATCAATATTTTACAAAAAAACACACTTTATTAGTTTCCTTGTAGCAGCAAACCTAGGTACTCGTTAAACCTAATAAAATATATTTCATTGAAAATCAATTAAGACAAATGGAAATTCGCTTAGTCGGCAGGTTTGCTGCGGCGGGGGTATTTTGTACTAAAACTGTACACACTAACTTTTTAACACCAAAAGCTGTCATTATATACTTGCAGTCTTTATTGTGGGATTACCAGAAATTACGAATAGACTACTGGAACTTGAATGAGGAGAAACGATTGGACCTTCAATTTATAGAACAGTAGGCCTACCACTAATTATTCCGAAAAACGTGTCCTCCTAAATCACAAAAGTACACGAAGCGTTGCTTAGCCGCAAGTGAAATACCTTAAAAGACGCATGAAGATAGTTATTTTTAAAAATATCTAAGTTACACAATATCAACCAATCGTACTACCAGTTTCGCAAGTTCATCCTTATAATAGGTAATAATGGTAATCGTTTATGACACGGTAGTCGATTCACAACTCAAACAACTCAGTACCGGTAGTAGTATTCAAACTCGAAACAGTGTTCAATACTTAGAACGTAAATCATTTCAATTGCCAGGATGTCTAAGCACTGTTTGAGTAAGTCTCCGTTTGATCTTGCGTGTATCTTTTGAATCAAGTTGGTTTCCAAAGGTACTGATGGATCTTTCACCTGTCTGTCAGATAACAATGGACAAAGACGTTCGAGAATGTTGCAAGGACCGATGGGAAAGGAAACGTCGTCCATTGTAAACATGTTCCCACAGCGCGAGTGTGGGTCTTCTTCTTCTCCTTGGCTAACTATCGTTATCACTACCTGAGCGATGGCCAGTTTATGGGAATCTTCGCCCAGTTATAATTTTCTGCTACGCGAGGCCATTGTGCTTATAACGATTACGCGTTTAGTTAGGGTACGGAGAGATTACAGTGATACAAATAATTATCCTGTACTTAAACTGTTATGCCATCCGATACGTCATTCTGCCATCGCTGCAAGTCTTTACAGAAACTTTGTTCGAGAGTCTATAGTCCCTGTAATTCTGACAGTCTTCACAACTTCAACTAAATATCACCGAAATCCATTTAACATCGTTATTCTATGGTTTTGTCTGTTCGAATTGGTAGAAATGTAGGTACCTACTTACTTATTGATAAACATTTCGACGCGTTTAATCATCGTTACATCAATGAGCGCAAGTGTAGCAGAACCCACCCTTAAAGAGACGTTTGGATCTTTTATCACCCTACTAGTTACAATCCTTTAAATTCGTTAATAATGCAAATGGACCAGAGCAAACCCATTCCAAATCGGAAGCCATTCCAGAAAACAAAAAGCGACAAAGGGAGAACAAGAGAACAGACGGAGTGATTTACGCGTCTGGGGATAAGTTTGGCGAACCACTGAGCTCTGTCGGTTACAAGAAAGTGCGAGGAATACACTTAAACTGCGATGACTAATCAAAAATACAGAAACTAGGAGTGAAGCATGACTGCATGTTAAACAGAAAATTAAAATTGCTTAAAATGCAAAAATAGTCTCGTCGAATACTTTTCACGAATAGACTAGACAACAAAGCAAAACAGGTAGCCTATCCCTTTCTAAAAATGTACCGGTAGTTAAAGTGTAAAATAAATAATAACTTCTACAAGATTTACATGGGGTGGCATTATTACAAGGTACTAGGCGAGAGAAGCATTCCGTTTCGGAAAACCAACCTTCAAACGTTTGTTTAAAAAAACAATTGAACTAATCTTGCTAATGAAAATCAGTATCGTAAATTTATTGAAGTTAAACAGTCTTATCTGAAGTTAAAGTTAGTTTTATCAGGAGAGATAATGTGATTATAAGCTTGACCTTTCCTAAACCGAACAATTAAAACACGAGATATAGTGTTAGGGCCTACATATTAGTATAGGTAGTCACTCTAGATTGTCATTGTCGATATAATTTAAACTGATCAGCTAGTTAAGATTATGGAGATTAAGATAAGACTAGCCTATATTGTTAGATCCCGCATTTGTGTATGCTATTTTTTTGGTCTACGCTCGTGCCGGTACATCTGTGAACTAGTGCGAGGCGAAAATTAAATATACACTGCGCGGCGGTGGACCACTGAAACGCCTTCAGTAGGCTACTCAAAGGAACAATGGCAATATTGTACACATGCATCTTCTAAATATATTATGATCTAGATGCCAAAGAACTGTCACAATAATATATCGTTACGCATTCGATTTCTCATTATAGAAAATCGTATATATCACTATGCGTACAAATAGACGCACGCTTGACACATCATCATATTAGGACACGAAGCCCTTGGACAAGCTTAATTGGAAACACCACAACAAAATGGCAAAACACCATAAGATTAGCTAAGATGCAAGACCTCACTTATGACGTCGACATGCTACACATTAGCCCATTGTTGATGCCGCAGGAGGGTTGAAAGACCAAAACCTGCCAGACAGCTGCTCGACCGCCTGCAGAAGCATTTGAAAAACATCCCAGCCCTATTTTTTGCCCTTACCCTACTTGTGATGAAGTGGTGAGTGAAGTCAACTAACCTTGGGCCTCTAAAAATTAAAAGCTAGCCTAAATAATCTTTATAATTTGTTGTAATTAAATCTGAATTGTTTTTGTTTTGCTGATTAAGTTACAGGAACTCAAATGTCTGATCGCGTCATGAAAATTTTAGACGTACTGGTAAATATGTACTGTACGGTATATAATCTGAAATTTCGTGAGTTTAAAAGTTGTAGGAAACGTACAGGTTACCGAGGCACGCTGTAAACACTTTCTCTATAAAGTCAAATCAAATAAATTTCAAATCCTAAGGTCTAATAATCTATTACGTTACCGGTAGGGCCTATGTCAAACTGTTGTGTATGTACCTATGTAATTTAGCTAGTGTTTGATGATTTAACTACTGTAAGTTATGTAATTTGTAATGTAATGAAGATAAAAGTAAACTTAAAAGATAACTTATGCTGTTAATATTTAGCTTTTACAAAATTTTATGGGTGTAAACCCTAATTAAATTGCAAAGAGAAAAATCAAAATACAATCATTAACTTAACACTTTAGCACATATTATTTTACCTTATGCATTTTGAAAGAATAACTTACATAATATACCTTATCATGATAACAAAACTTTAACTCAGACGAAATATTAATTACAATAACGTAATAAATATTTACGTTATTAAATACGTAAATATGCGTTATTAACGTAAATATGCGTTATTTAAGCATATTTACGTTCAATAACGTAAATATGCTTAACTTATAATGTAATACAAAACTGTTAGGAAATAAAATAATTACCTGCACTGACAGATGATCCCAGCAAAATAATCCCACAAACCAAGAAGCACACTATATTTTTTCGGCAAAACATATAACTATCACTATCGCGAACAGCACTACAACAGTATGTTTTAGTTAATCTTTCTTTCTCTTCCATTTCACTACAACTAGTCCTTCGCCTAGATAAGCGATTCAGTCTAACCATTCCTTTGTGTAGGCCTGTCTACCTGACAAGCCTACCTACCTTTAGACTCCCGTACTTATTTCAACTCCTAAACTTCCTAAAAACCATATTGTATCACTAATTATTTATATATTTTTTTGTAATCCACTTAAAACAAACGGCATACTTTAAAATTACCCGGTCGTTCGCTCGCTTGTTTCGTCACGATTCACCTGAGCATTTTCTCACCTGTCTACAAAACTTTGAAATGCTGTCACTTTCCGAACCAAAACTAAGGTCAAACTGCTGCATAATGGAAGAAACACTATCACTGAACACTCCAACACTTGTCAAAGACCACTTTACACTCAATATGTGCGAGCATTCACGTTAGAAAAACTTTCAAACTTTTAAAGATACGCAAACGTTTGTATAACCTCCACTACCTTCCACCGCGCGTTCCGTTACAATCTGGCATTTCGCCCCACTACAAACTTGGTAGTTGACCAACGCGCCGTTTGGAGCGCTCGCAACAGTGTAACCTGTGCTACCTGGCGGCTCTTTCGCTAACTATTCTTCTCAACAATGCTGTACTACTGTGTGTTTCGTGTTTATTTGGCTCCATTCCAGATTATCTCTACACTTCACACCTCTAGCGCAACTAAGAAATCTTGTTGAAAGGTTGCTCAATGATCTGGTTTTCTGGGGACCTAAGTACTATTGAAAAGACCCTAATTTCGACCCTCATTGGGTTAAAAATTATAATTATGTCTTATGTCTAATAAAATAGTTGGTGAAAAGAAATTGTAGTTACAATTTAGTTTTCTAAAAACACAACATATTCAAATATTGTGTGATCATGTTTACTACCTTTAATGTACTGCTACAGAAAACCACAACGTAATCACAATATTGTTTATGAAGGACATGACTAACACTGTCAAACAAACTGTAAACAAACTTTCCTTGGTTACTAAAATGAAACGTAAACTCCCAATTTTATCAAGATACAGCTTGGTTTAATGAATTGCAGTGGCGGCTAGTGGCCCAGCGCAGTTGTAAGCTGTCTGTGAGAGAGTTATGTGCAATATTGACTTGGATGGTAGCCAGCCTACATACACAACATCGATGTGTTATTTGTGATACGCCATCTGGGTTTCTAACACACGTGACATTGATTGTTATTTATTTCCTCTGCGGGTTATTTGTAAAATGTCCTGTAATTCTGTCTGTAAAAGTTTGAATAACATCAGAAGGGGTTTAAAAGACTATGGGGACTTGAAGATGTTTGGATTTAATTCCTACAACATTACTTTGGGTAAATCTTAATTATTTTGGTAACTAAATTTGCAAACTGTAAATAACTAAGGGGGGATTGAATAAAACATTTCCTAACACACTTTCCTAAAACACACCTACAACATTTCCTATAGGAAATTTTTCAAAGGAACATTTTTTATAGGAACATTTAATATAACCCATACTCAGAATATAAATACTGTATATCAAACCACAAACAAAGAAACACGTTAATGAAACAGGTATTATTGAAACTGTAAGGTGTAACTGTGTTGTGTTGTAAGGTGTTGTAATGTGGAAACTCTTGAATGTATAAATTATTTGTTCGTTTGATTAACTGAAAAAAGATCATAAAAGTGTATCTTATTTTTGTTTTGTTGCATTTTGTTGCAAGTTAACATGACAGAGTTATTATTTCATCAATTAAATGTATGGATTGTATTAAAAATGTTTTTAGTTAATTATATAATGTGTCGTGAATTATAAAATGTGTTTACGATATTGTTTGAACGATTAAACCAAATCAACAGAGCAACCGAGCGAGGCTCGGTCCCCCGGTACTGACCAACGATGTGCAGGGTGAGGTTCATAACTCCAAGTTTTCATAACTCCAAGTACTTTTAAATACAACATTTCATAACTCCAAGTAAAATTATGTCCAAGTAAATTAAAACCAAAATATCATAAGACCAAGTTTCATAACTCCAAGCGTTCATAACTCCAAGATTCATAAGTCCAAGTTAAAATAAAACCAAGTAAATTAAAATACAAAATTTCATAACTCCAAACGCACAGATTTGCAAGGACCACAAGTCCAAGTTTCATAACTCCAAGGGTTCATAACACCAAGTTTCATAACTCCAAGTGACAATGGGTACAGTCCGTGCAGGAAACGATAACGTACGCACACACACGCACCCATTACACACACACACACATGCTGGAAGAGAGTTTCCGATGTTGGCGAGACTATTCGAAGTGGTGCGTTCCCTGTCGCTTTGCACGTTCGTCTAAATTGTAATACAAATACTGAGAGGATGAAATTTACATATTTAAATTCTGCGTAAACTGATGTTTAATACTATATAAATACAATTTAGTTCGTGCAGATGATTAATGTTTAATAATGGAAAATATGAAAAGGTTGTTCAATGTAAACATGAAAAAGTAAGTGAGCGAGGATTTTTTTTATTTTTTGGTCAGATGAAAACTTTCAGCGAGAAAAGTATAGATAATAAGATGTTCTTCAATTTTTGTTCCAAACATTTTTTCGTAAGACTTTTAGTTTGTCCAATAATCGACTTAGATGACCACCACGAGGTATGAATGAATTAGTTTACGCGCACGGTATTTTAGCAATAATTGCCGTCTTCCAACAACAATATTAAGGAAATACAGTATTAGTTCACGTTTTAAAATTTCTAAACTATGAAAAATATTTAGTCTTAACTTCTTCAGCTGTATGTACGAAATTTCGAAATTTTTCTACATAATATTCGTGATGCACAACGCAAATAAGTCGTAGTGCCTTTTTTCCACTATTTTTCATCTCCTATTTTTCGGAAAAAATTTACACAGGATTAATCCACGTTAAGGTTTCATCTTGTAGCATTCATTTGTAAATATAAAATTTGATTATAGTTACAATTACTTGTTCCCTCATAAATCTTTATTCCGTAACAAATATGAGAGTGTATGTTAGCAAAGTAAATTGTACGCAAAATGTCTGTAGTGCATAATGGGTTTAGTAAAAAAAAAATACCATATTTAAAATTTTAAAAATACTAGATTTGTATGATCCAAACAAGCGGATATAATCTATAGATAGGTCTAGAAACATTTGGATTTCGAGACTAAATTATCATAGAAATATGTTTTTGAGTAAATACATCTATACTTAATACCAGATTGTTTTATTTGAGTTAAATAGAAGGTATTTATCATTTAGGTATTATTTAAGTACCTTAATGAGTTAAGTACTTTAATATAAGAATTGATGTCGTCCAGTGGTCAAAACTCGACCACAATCCAAATAAAATATGAACTTATCTATATTCATCCCGCGCTGAAAATCAAACATGTGATGATTGTGTACCAGTCTTCAATTTGTTTTGATTTTCTGTATATTTATCGTTGTTATTGCGTCACCAGAATTTTAACTCATAATCAAAATGTCAGTTTTTTGTTTATGTTAAATTCGTTTTCGAACTTATTTTTCATCATTTTTTTAATTTATTAAGTTGTTCTGTTTATCTACAGGAAAATATGTTTCTAACAGTATGCGTAGATTTTCCTTGCGATGCACACGAGCTGAGAAAAGGGCCTTAAAGAAACATATTTGCCTATTAATATATAGATATAGCTAATACTTGTCATACCAATAAGGAGAATAAATAAGCAGACACAAGAAGGATCTTATTTAAGAAACATAATTTAATGTAGGCTATTCTAATAGCCAGTGAAATTTATTTTTGTAAACCTCACAAGAGAGATAATAGTAATAATAATCGAAAGTATATAGTAAAATTAGTGGGATTCTGTTAACTGCCACAAACATTTTATCAGTACTGTTCACCTTCGTACTGTAGTACTGGCTCATCCCTTGCTTTGCTGGATACGTTACACGCACAGATCTGTAGTCTTATGTGGACGGGCAAATGTTAAAAATTTTTAACAGAGACCACACACCTCTTTGTTTCTCTAGTTGGAACACTGTCTGTGACATAATTCTTCATCCAAACTCTATGGGCCTTGAGAGTCACTTAATTGTATACACAACATATGTAAGCAATATCAGTTGTGTGTTTTAGCTAATTTCCCATATAGGGAATAAGCTATTACCGTAGTACTCATGTAAGACCTGGACCCGGACCGAATTAATTTTCGTTTTGATATCCCTAGAGACCAAAAACACCATCCGTTCCTTTTTTGTTACATTTTTCAGACAAATTAAAATATGATATTATGGAGCTATTTATGTTGCAAGCGCTAATAAGTGGATGATACTTAAATAATTTGTAGAGAACGGATTGTCCAATTAATTTGTTTGTGGCGTCAAACCATATGTTTATGAGAGTAAGGAATCTGTTACCAATACTAACTAGTGTAAATTTTGCTCGAATTCGAGCAATTGCAAGGTACTGGTATTACAGAAATTATTTCAAAAACAATAACAGTAATATTTACAATGAGTTTAAAAGAGTCAACTCAAAGCTTACTGGTGTGTATCATATGGAGATACTCACGATGTACATAACAGTAATCAACATTTCCTAAAAATATATATGTATAGCCGCATAAGGTTGTCCATGTTTATCTTCGTTATTGATAAACCTATGCATGCTACCACCCTTGTCGCCATCAGTAAGTTTACAAATTTCATTCATTCTTTAATAAGGATAGAATCTGTTTTCATCACCATAAGGACTTCCTGTTGTCTGTCACAATTTTATTTGTTCAATTGGTGTATTTATTGTTTAGTTGCAATAACGTTAATTATATTTAACTGAGAAAATGCAAAGTTAAAGACCTTCTGTCGTTCAGTTGATTTTTGTTTCCCTTAGCATTATATGAATAATAATTAAAATCCTTCAGTAAAATGTTAGTAAGGGGCTCTTGGATATTTTCATAGGCTATTATTAAAATTGTTTGACTTTTATGAAAACATAGATTAATGTCATTGACGTACCAGATTTATTTGGCTTTAGAGGGTTTTCCTCTGCAATGATCACAAAGTTAAGTCCATGTTTCCTAATAAAATTTGTAGCACTTCAGCTAACATCCTCGTTCATAGTTTGTAGGAATCTGAATCTTGTAGGTGTTCTTCATTATACAGGCTAATGACGATAGTTAATTCTTTAAAAAAGTATTATCTCTATTTCTTCTACTAGGACTTTCTTCTATGACTTTTAATGTTTCAATAATTTGCAAATGGGTTCTTTCAATGATTTATTTTTTAAAGATCTAATTTTTGTAGGACGCTTTTCTTTGAAATGCAGCTTAAATATTAACAGCAATTAAATTATATAGCTGATAAAAATTTTAACAATTATGATCTTCATAAGGATAACATGGGAACCTTCAAAGCCACTGGGGTAGAGCCCAAGGGACTTTTTCAAATCAAGTTCAAGACCAGTTTGCAAATCTAC